ACATTATTCACCGGAATTGTTTCAAATTTTTCATTTGGTGTTCGTAATGGATACAAATTTGTCAATGCTATTGTCTGAAATTCCACACAAGGAGTTCTCTGTGAGCACTTTACCCCCTGAAAGAGAATTGTCTATATGGGTCTACAATATTGTATAACCCCCATTTGATGTTTCATCCAAATTTTTCAATGGAATTAGCTTAAAATCCACACAAAGAGTCACTTCTGAGTACTTTACCTCCTGAAAGAGAATTGTCTATATAGGTCCACGACATCGTATATCCCCCATATAACTGTACCTCCCGACATTCTATTATTTAATGATTTTAGTCACAATTTTTAATGAAATTGTCTGAAATTCTACATAAGGAGTTACTTCTGAGTACTGTACCCTCTGGAAGAGAATTGTTTATATAAATCCATGATTTCGTAAAGCCCCCTCCCTATACAATGGTGCCTCCTATATTCGGTATCTTGATAATTTTAGCCCCATTTTTCAATGGAATAGTCTGAAAATCCACACAAGGAGTTCCCTCTGAGTATTTTACCCCCCCGGAAGACAATTTCCATATAGGTCAACGTTTAAGTATAGCACCCATATAACGCTACCCCGAGATATTCGGTATTTCCGGGATTTTCACAACATTATTCGTATTTCGTATTTGAAGTTCGTAATGGGTGCTACAACCTATGACGGAAAATTGCCTATGTAGGTCCACGTCTTAGCCCCTATACAACTTTATCTACCTTTATTCGGTATTTTGATGATATTGGCTACAGTATTCACCGGAATTATCTCGAATTTCGTATTTGAAGTTCGGAATCGTTAGTACATCCTATGACAAAGAATTACTTATCCATTTTTACTTATATATTTTTCAACGGAATTTTGCTTTGAAATTTTTCAAGTTCCTTCCGAATGGAGGATGGTACCAAAAGTTCTGACCGGCCGAACTTAGCTGCTTTAAAACTTGTTTGTTTATTTGCTTCAGCGAATTTTTTCATAGAATTTTTACATATTCTTAATATCACAAATCGGAAATTTTCGGAAATTAATTTTTGACATCTATCTAAGTTCTCTGGATTTAAAAAAAACGGTAAAGTATACAATTTTTAACATACCGACAAATAAATAACAAATCTTCCATTTGTATGTCACAGAATAGATTTCTATACAGAATAAACATATTAGTCATCGTCTATCCTGTTGAGGCCCACGTGAGTTCTCCTGCATGCCGAAGAGTACACAATCGGTACTTTTTTTATCCGATGCAGAAGAGGAACACAATAGTTCAAATGACCACAATAGTTCCAAAACGGTACCCTTTTATACGTGGAGGTCAGAATCGGTGGTTTCTATGCAGTAGAGTACTAACATTTTTGTCTTACGTACAGCAGCAAACCAAATGCTCTTCCATGCCAAAATAGTTCTCTTCTGCATAGCCCAAGATCAAATAGGTCTGTTTTGATACTGCAGGGGACCAAATTGGCCTACTCCTATACATCGAAGTACCAAACTAACAAAAGGTAAATTTGAATACAGCAACAGAGGGTCAACATGTCCTTCTTCTATGCAGCAGAGGACTCAAGTGATCCTCTTATATACGAAATTGGTTCCCTTATATACCATAGAGCACAACATTGGTCCTCTTTATGTAGTGAATCCTTTACAGGGTGAGATAAAAAAAACTGCAACAAATTCAAACGCCATAATTTTTACATTTTTTTGTTAAATTTTATGTCGGAAATAGCATCAAATTTCAGAATATGTTCAGATTTGTTCGAATTGGTCAACTTTTGCACGAATTATGGCCTTTAAACGGCCAATGAAACCGTCACACGCTGCCCGAATGTTGCTCTGCTGCATTTTGGTCCATTCCCGGCGAAGCGCTGGCTTGAGTTGATCGACACTTTGGTATTTTTTAGTACCAACCTTGCTTTCCAAAATACTCCAGACACAATAGTCAAACGGATTGGTATCCGAGATTTTGGTGGCCATTGTGTGCTGGAAATGAAGCAAGAAACCTCATTTTGCAACTACTCTTGGGTGGCGCGTGCTGAGTGCGATGGTGCTGATTCCTGTTGGAATGTCCAAGGTCTGCGGCCAAAATGTTTGCGTGTTCAAGGCTTTAATACACCCTCCAGAATTTGTTTGCGATAATATTCGGCATTTATTCTGATGCCACGGTCGATTAATACGAACGGAGAGCGACCATCGGCAACTATGGCGGCCCACACCATCACTATGGCCGGCGCTTGAGTTCTGGTGGCCAACCGAAAGTCCACATTTTCTGCTGACCTCTTTGGCAAGTAAACACGATCATTTTGTTTGTTTACAAACTGCTGGACAACGAATGTTTTCTCATCAGAGAAAACCAAATTCTGCAGTTCACCACCTTCGGCCAAGCGAAGCAACTCTTTAGCTCTTTTAAGTCTATTTTCTTTCTGTTGCGGTGTAAGTTCTTGCACTTTTTGGAATTACAATTACTTTACCCCGAGCTCATTTTTCAATATTTGCCGAATGGAATGTTGAGATATTTTTAGTTCACTACAGCTTTAGCTACATTATTCTCCGAAATGTTTTAAAATTTGGTATTTGAAGTTCTTAATGGATCCTACAGCCTATGACAGAAAATCGTCTATGCAGGTCCACGTCTTCGTATAGAGCCCATATAACGGTACCTCCCGATATTCGGTATTTTGATTATTTTAACTACATTATTCTAAGAAATTGTCTCAAATTTGGTATTTGAATATCGTAATGGATCCTATAGCCTATGACAGAAAATTGTCTGTGCAGGTCCACATTTTGGTATAGCCCCCATATAACGGTACCCCCCGATGTTCGGTATTTTGTTGACTTTCGCGACATTATTCACAGGAAGTACTTCGAATTTCGTATTTGAAGTTCGTAATGGATCCTACAGCCTATGACAGAAAAATGTCTGTGCAGGTCCACGTCTTCGTATAGGCCTCACATAACAGTAGCTCCCGATATTCGGTATTTTGATTATTTTAGCTACATTATTCTCCGAAACTGTCTCAAATTTGGTATTTGAATTTCGTTATGGATCCTACAGCCTATGACAGAAAATTGTCTGTGCAGGTCGACGTCTTCGTGTACCCCCATATAATGATACCTCCCGATATTCGGTACTTTCATGATTTTAGCAAAATTACTCCCCGAAATTGTTACAAATTTGGTACTTGACGTTCGTAATGGGAACTATAGGCTATGACAAAATGTTGTCTGTGCAGGTCCTCGTCTTCGTATAGCTCCCATATAACGGTACCCTCCGATGTTCGGTATTTTGTTGACTTTAGCGACATTATTCAACTGAATTATTTTCAATTTTGGTATTTGAAGTTCGTAATGGATCCTACAGCCTATGACAGAAAATTGTCTGTGCAGGTTCATGTCTTCATATAGCCCCCATATAACGGTACCTCCCGATATTCGGTATTTTGATGATTTTAGAGGCATTACTCACCGGAATTGTTTCAAATTTGGTATTTGAAGTTCCTAACGGATGCTGCAGCCTAAGACAGAAAATTGTCTGTGTAGGTCCACATCTTCGTAAAGCCCCCATATAATGGTACCTCCCTATATTCGGTACTTTCAAATTTGGTGTTTGAAGTTCGTAGTGGATACTAAAGCGTAAGACAGAAAATTGTCTGTGCAAGTCCAAATTTTGTATAGCACCTGCCTATATTGAATTTTAGCTACATTATTCACCGAAGCACGTACAGCTTCTTCTCTGGTTTTTTTTTTTTTTTTTTTTTTTTTTTTTTTTTTTTTGAATATTGCCAAATTCGTTGCAAGTTCATCCCGACCGCATTTACTTGTTATGATTTCAGCAGTATTTTTCAACGTATTATTTTACCCTATTTATTCCAAATTGGTGAGGGTATTCTATGTTTGGCCGGCCGAACTTAGTGCTTTCTCATTTGTTCTTACTGTGGAGGGCCAAATGGATCCTACTTCATAAAGAGTAGTTCCAACTTGATCTCCCTTCATAAAGATAGACCCTCAGAATGGACCCTCTTCTATATTTCCCCTTCATAGATTATCCAAGTTGTACACTTCTAAGCTAATTTGTACAATTCTAAAAAAGAGAGTAACAAAATGTTTCTCTTCTATGCAATAGTAAACCTAACAAGTCCCTCAAAATAGCACCTTACCTACCATACGGTATATTTCAACATAGTCCTTACCTCTATGAAGGAAAACCAAATTCCTTTTGTAAAATCCCAAGGACATTCTCTGTTCATCTGGCAACACCGTTTGAACTTTTCAAATGATATATGAATATCAGCATTGCCAATTGGAGGTAACTTCACAACGCATTAACTTCGAAAAAAACCAAAACCCCTTGCAATGGCTAGAGTTCGTTTGGTACTGAAAATGTTGTTGATAAGATTTACAACAACAATGAAAGCTACAACCTGGATAAGAGTTTCCCGCATGACTTCTTAAACATTTGCTTGGCTAAATTTTTTTTTTTTTTTGAACATGTATTTCATTTTGGAGGTCTTGAACCCCCCAAATAATGGTTAAGGATTTGAGACGGCACCACAAAACATGAAGTCACAAGATACACTAACAACAACAACAATCAATGAAAATTGTTACATGAAAATTGTGTTGCTTGTTGTGTTAGTGTTGTGTTCCCTGTTTCACGGCATTACATTGATCTTACATCGCTATGCGCTATGCCATGGATTAATGATGTCATTCGCTGTCGTTCAATTGTCGTTGTCTGTTCGTTTTTTTTTTTTTTTTGTTTCTGTGAATTTATGGCGGAAATGTCTAGGCAGGAGTTTTCTGGAGTTACTCTTTGACTGTGGCATGACTGCAGCATATCGATAATAAATGACTGAATTAATGGTGGCTTGTTGGAAAAAAAAAACCGAACAAAAACACTTTTGCTTGCCATCGATTTTGTTCGTTGCCGGTCTTCCAGGTTTGAAAGTGAAGCCAAAAAAAAAAAAAAAAAAAACCGGCAAATAAAAAAAACAACTCACCTAATGTTGAATTATCCGTGGGTGTTGCATGGAGTTTTGGGCACAACTGAAAGTATTAAAAAAAAATACATAAAATAATTTGCAATTTAGCAAGGAATGATTTAAGCAATCAAAAATATATATTAATTATCATTTCAATTTTTGCGGAAGTTTAAGGAAGGTTATAAATACTGGAATAACACAAAATCACAAAAAGTTCATGGAGGACATTACAGAATACACATTTTTGTACCCTCAGCCATATGCCTTATGGCCAAAACGTGCCCAGTAGAAAGAAAAGTTTTATACAGGGTTGCCCATATTCGACGGACCCATGACTCTTTGGGCCCATTCCAATGGTGTTCTTAGAAGGCGCACTTCTCACATTTTTTAATGTTTTAAAAGCACGTTGAGTTTTCACAATTGACTTCTTCTGTTGAATGTAAATTTCAACTATTTCAGAGCGCTCGCGTGGCGTGTATTGGTTCATGGTAAAAATCTGCTTGGACTGACGCTTCAAACGCGGTATGTCATTAAGCGATGTGACATCTCTGTCAAAAGTTATGGCGTTGCCAGATGGGTTCGTCGAATATGGGCAACCCTGTACTTAGGTCTCTTTGGACCAAATCCGATTCGGGACATTTAGAGTCGATCTAGCGATGTCCGTCCGTCCGTCCGCTTGTCTGGCTAGCTGGAGCGCACGATGACTTTCAAAGGGAGTATCCAATTTGGTCCAAACTTGGCACATCTTAACATTTTTGTCAAACTTAGATCGAATTTGGAGATGGTATCGGTCCACTCCTTCTGGTACCTCCCCCACAAAAGGTCGAAATTTGCAGAAAAATATATTTTCTGCACAGAAAGAGAAACGATAATCCGATACTACTCCAACTTTGCAAATCCTAATATTTGCGTCAGTTCTGGGTCAGGTGCGAAAATGGACAATATCGATTCACTTTATCAGGTACCTCCCCCACAAGGGGCCAAAATTTTGAATAATTACAACTCTGATAAAATGTGATGTAAGGTCCGATTGTCTTCAAATTTCATATATCCCCATATTTTTACTAACCAAAGGTCTGGTATAAAGATGGTAGGGATCGGTCCACCCCTTCAAGTACCTCCCCCATAAAAGATCGAAATTTTCAAAAATATATATTTTCTACACAGAAAGAGAAACGATAATCCGATTTTTCTCCAAATTTGCAAATCCTAATATTTGAGTCAGTTCTAAATTAGGTGCAAAAATGGACAATATCGATCCACTCCATCAAGTACCTCCCACACAAAGGGTCAAAATTTTGAATAATTACTTATAAAATGTGTTGTAAGAGTCCGATTGTCTTGAAATTTCACACATCCCAATATTTTTTATCAACCCAAGGTCTGGTATTAAGATGGAATACATCGGTTCACTCCTTCTGGCACCTCCCCCACAAAAGGTCGAAATATTCATAAAAAAGAAAAAAATATTTTCTCCGCAGAAAGAGAAACGGTAATCTGATATTGCTCCAACTTTGCGAATTCAAATATTTTCATCAGTACTAGGTCGGGTGCGAAAATGGACAATATCGGTCCACTCCATCAAGTACCTCCCACACAAAGGTTCAAAATTTTGAATAATTACAACTCTTAAGAAATGTAATGTAAGAGTCTGATCGTCTTCATAATTCACACATCCCATTATTTCTACTAACACAAGATCAGCTGTGAAGATGGGATGGGATCGGTCCATTCCTTCTAGTACCTCCCCATAAAGGGTCAAAATTTTAAATACCTATAAAGCTTATAATACGCGAAGTTAACATCCGATTCCATTCAGACTTGACACATCTTAATATTTTTATCAATAAAAGAGGTGCTATTAAGATCGTAGGGATCGGATCATTCCTTCTGGTACCTCCCCCACAAAAGGGTCAACATTTTGAATATCCATTAAGCTCATAAAACGTGAAATTACTATCCGATTCCATTCAGACTTGACTGGTAAAAGTAAAGAAGTGACTTGATCGAAACCCACGTCGCAGGGACCGAAAAATGGCTCGTGAGCTGAACACATCGCAATATTCCATTCGGCAAGAATTGAAAAATGAGCTCGGGATAAAGCCATTGAAATTCCAAAAAGTGCAAGAACTTACACCGCAACAGAAAGAAAATAGACTCAAAAGAGCTAAAGAGTTGCTTCACTTGGCCGAAACTGCCGAATTTGGTTTTCTCCGATGAGAAAACATTCGTGGTCCAGCAGTTTTTAAACAAACAGAATTATCGTGTTTACTTGCCAAAGAGGTCAGCTGAAAATATGCACCTTCGGTTGGCCACCAGAACTCAAGCGCCGGCCATGGTGAAGGTGTGGACCGTCATAACAGCAGATGGTCGCTCTCCGCTCGTATTAATTGACCGTGGCATCAGAATAAATGCCGAATATTGTCGCGAAAATATTCTGAAGGGCCCAAGGTTTTAGGGCACGCAAACATTTTGGCCGCAGATCTTGGACATTCCAACAGGACTCAGCATAATCCGTTGGACTATTGTTTCTGGAGCATTTTGGAAAGCAAGGTTGGCACTAAAAAATACCAAAGTGTCGATCATCTCAAGTAAGCGCTTCGCTGGAAATGGGTCAAAATACCGCAGAGCAACATTCGGGCAGGGTGTGACGTTTTCATTGGCCGTTTGAAGGCCATAATTCGTACCAAAGACCAATGACCAATGCGAACAAATCTAAACTTATTTTTAAAAAAAGTCGGAAATAGCATCAAATTTTACTATTTCCGACATTTTTTGCGTTCATTCAATAAAATTAAAAAAAATGTAAAAATTATTGCGTTTGACTTTGTTGCAGTTGTTGCATATCACGCTGTATACAATGTTCCTCGATTAATGCTAGAACCCATAACGAACTACAAATACCGAGATTTAGACAAATTGGTGGTAATGTGTGGCTAAAACTATCAAAATACCGAATATCGGGTGGTACCGTTATTCACCGTAAAGTTCCATATAATTTCACATTCTAGAATCCACTGTGGATTGTGGAAAACTCCAAGTGGACTTGATAGTACTCGGTTTTTGGAACGAAACCCCAAAGGAGTTTCGGATTCATAGGCCTAACATTGTTAAGACACTTATATGGTTTTGACCATATACAAAACAAGATTCAGATTCAAGTATTTTTTACGATTTGGCCATGTTTTCCATTAAATTTCTCCAAATTAAATTGGCTCATCTTTTAAAAGCGATTTTGTGACAAAGCTCATGTCCAATAAAAATTATGGATTTTTTAAGGCAACTTTGTAAAAAATCTTTAGTTTTTTTCTTCCAGAACTTCATGCTAAAAGTTCGTGGAATTATTGTCTTTTTGGAAAATTCTGGATCAAAAATGTCTAATTTTTTTTAAAAAAAATTCCTTAAAAAATTATGGATTTAAAATAAAAAATATTTTACAAATATTTTATAATTTTACATTTAAATATTACCAACTTTTTAAGAGTTATTTAGCTACACCAATCACTTCAATGCCCCAGTCAACTTCGATCATAACCATTTCACCCTTTCCCCATAACTCCTAAAAACAAAACGTCATTTATTGCTCAAATACTCCTCCGATGAGATGCAGAAAAAGCTTTTATGTATTTTCATCTTCATTGCAGGCATTGCTTGGAACATCATGGCCATCAGCCCAACAAGAGAGCTTATATTTTGCTATCCCAAGTCAATTAGCCAACAACAGGAATGCACGTTAAAAATAAAACAAAAACAACAACAACAGCGACAACAATAACACACAAATTATCATTGCAAGCGAACAAATAAACTTTAACTTGGCCATGCATGCAAGGCATGCAGCAGTCAGACATTTAGCCGATATATTTTTGCCCGCCATCATTACCACAATGCAGTCGGCAGCAGCAACGGCCGACGTCGTAGCCGCTGCTGCAGCGGACAGCTGTTAAGCCAACAAATGTTCGTGGCATTTCTAACAGTAAACTTCACTCTTAATTTCATTATTACAACAGCGATGACGACAGTGAGATAACAGAGCAATAACAAAAACAACAACAACTAATGTGAATGCAACACAAGGCAAGCACACACACACACACATTCGCACATGCCCACGATTAATAAATCAATGATGAAGTGTAAACAATTGCAAGGCAAAGAGATTTAACCGTTCTCTTCCATAGAAAAAGTCTCTCTCTCTCTCTATTTCTACATTGCTCACATACAATACAACATTGCTGGTTTTCCAATGAATTTTCCTGCTTGCAATAGACAACACAGCAAAGCTTTTGTTCATTAGGCAATTTGAGGCCTTCCACCCCTCTCCACCACCCACAGAGGTAGCAAGCATTATAACAACAGCAAAACGTGCTTGCTTGCAACAATAACACCAAACAATCCACACTCGGCATCATCATCATCATCGTAGTCGCATTTTCTTGTTGTTATTGTTGTTTAGACTATTTTATTATTCTTCGTCGCCGCCGTCGTCATCATCATCATCACTACCATTATCACCATTGCCTTGTTCGTGGCCGTTCGTCACTGTGCCAAACTGTCGTGCTATTGTACGTTGAACATTCATCGTTTATTTACAAAAGTCTTCTTGGTGTTGTTGTCGTTGTAATAATGACTCTCAGAAAAAAACAACAAATACCTCTGCCAACGCCAACGTCATGCTGCTCTAATATTTGTAGAAGCTTTTGCTGCAGTAGCTTTGCTGTCATTATGCATTTTGTGGCGCTGCTTCCAACAACAACAACAAACGACCTCCTAAAGGTCTTTGAACCCGAACTTTACATTTGGAAAAAGCAGCAGCAGCACCAACAACTAACGAACCAACGAATGAATGTTGTGTGCCCACGATTGTGTCTAACATTAGCAATGACCGAGACGGTTGCACGAATGCATAGACATACTTACGAACTATAATCGGTTGGATGAAGGCGTTGCCAGCTAGAGAGAACGAAATAGATTGGAAATCCATGGTAACCGATAATATTTTCCATAAAATAATTTTTATAGAAAATCCTGTTATCGACCAGAGTATCAATAGAAAATCTTGTT